TGAGTCTGGGGACGACTGGGGACCGTCGTGAAAGGGGAAAGGTTTGGGGGATGTGGGGTGACCCCTCACCCTGCCTCACCCTGCCCGCAGTGCCCTAGGCGTGGATTCGGTCCTGAGCCTGCTGTTTATCCTGCTTCTGCGCCTGGTGGCCGGGCCCCTGGTGTTTGTGCTGATCGTAGGGGTGCTGGGCGTGCTGGCCTATGGTATATACCACTGCTGGAAAGAATACAGCGTGCTGCGGGACCAGGGTGCCTCCATCTCCCAGCTGGGCATCACCACCAACCTCAGCGCCTACGGCAAAGTTCAGGAGACCTGGCTGGCAGCCTGTGAGTGTCCTGCCCACCGATGAACCACCTGCCACTCAAGGGTGGCCCTGGGCCATGCCTGGCCCTGGTCCTGACCCAGGCCCCTCTGCCCCGTCTACCCTAGTGATCGTGCTGGCCGTGCTGGAAGGCATTCTGCTGCTGATGCTCATCTTCCTGCGGCAGCGGATTCGTATCGCCATCTCCCTCCTGGAGGAGGCTAGCAAGTCAGGGCCTGTCTGGAAAGAAGGGGCAGAGGGCAGGGATGTGGGCCCAGGATGGGAATGCTGACTTTGTGGCAGGGAGCACTGGAGGAGAAGGGCAGCACAGCATGGTGGTTAACACTGCTGTGACTTAGCTTTTCTGTGCCTCAGTTTACCCATCTGTAAAATGGGTGTAACAGCAGTTCCTACCCCTAGGGCTGCTGTCATAAGGATTAAATTAGTGTCTCGTCAAGTGTCTAGAACATGAAACAGGCCCTTACTCTCCCTGAAGCTGCCTTGGCAGCTTCTTGTGACTCTAGTTTCCTCTATAGTTCCCTTGAGCCTGATTTATTCAATTCAGTTTGTTCAGAGAACACCTACGGTGTGCTCAGCCTGGGGGGATGGATCAGGCCCTGGAGAGGACAGAGGTGTGGCCATACCAGGGTTGCCCAGTGAGAGGATGGGTGGGGATTCGGGGGCTAGCTCCTTTGGTGGACCGCTGTCATCTCCCTGCAGGGCTGTAGGACAGATGATGTCTACCATGTTCTACCCGCTGGTCACCTTTGTCCTCCTGCTCATCTGCATTGCCTACTGGGCCATGACTGCTCTGTATCCTTTGCCCACATGGCCGGGCCCTCCTGGAGTCCTTGGGAGTAGGGGACAGGGCAGTACCTTTTTGTGCAGTGCCTCAGTACCATTGGAGGGAGGCATCCCTTCCTCCAGGCAGCCCTGCGTAGAAAGAAAATTTCAGCCACTGTGCAGTAAAGAGCCTGCACAGGAAGGGGTTGCTGAGGAGGGGACCTTGGAGACCCCCATATGACCATGCTTTCCTTGACTCCTCTCTGGGTACCTGGCCACATCGGGACAACCTCAGTATGTGTTCTGGGCACCCAACGCCACCTTGCCGGGCTGTGAGAAAGCGCTGATGAATACATCATGTGATCCCTTGGTGAGGATTTGGGGTGGATGTGGAGGGGCACCAGTAGGGCTAAGGGGACCTCAGAGGCCAACTGCTCCAAATCCCTCATTGTGCCAGGGAGACTGAGGACCAGAGAGGGCAAGGGGCTAAGTAACTGTCACACAGCAGGCCCCTAGCAGAACCAGAGAGGGAAGCAGTCCCCAGAATCCAGATCTCCCGCTGAGCTACCCATTGTGCTGGAAGAGGAGGCAGGCTGTGCCTGAAAGCAGGGCCAGGCCCCCGGGCAGATGGGTACCAGAAGTTCTCCATCCCTCCCCAGGACATTCCTCTGCCTAGAGGACAATTAACCACTTCACCCTCTCAGTCTCAGTCCACCCACCTGTAAAATGAAGATAAATCTTAATATCTGTGCCTCAGCGGGGCTGAGAAGATTAAAGAACATTGTGCACATGAAAGTGCTTAGTACAATGCCTGGCATCTGATGAGAGCCGATAACTCTAGATGGGTTTTATTTCGGGCTTTTTTGGGCAGTCTTCCTCCCTCAGAACACTGTGTCCTAGGCAATAGGCAGGTGGGGCTCCCTGGGGGGCCTGGGAAAGTAGCTGCTTCCCCAAACTCTCCCCTGTGAGGTTCCCAGAGATCGGGGCCAGACTTCTAGGTATTTAACGGTCAAAGCTTTCATACTGCCACTGCATCAGAGCTGGGATCAAGGGCTGTGCCCACAGGCATTAGCCCCACTGAAGAAAGAGGGGGAAGTCCTTTACATCTAAGGAGGACTCTCTATGTGCTGGGAGCTGGGTATACAAAGCCCCAAATGTGTTCGCTTTCGACTTACTTAGATTCCATGTAGCAGTGGGGACTGACTGAAACCCACAATTACCTACACAGTAGAAACTGGTTTACTTTCTTATAAAATTTCAAACGAACATTGGGTTTCAGCAATTATCAAGATTTTTGTCACATCATTTGCAAATCCTTTCTCCCGTTCAGTAGCTTGTCTTTTCGATGGTGATGTTTTCCCTGGCTGGGTACAAGCTTTTAAGTTTAATTAGGTCCCATTTGTTTATTTTGGCTTTTATTTCCTTTGCTTTAGGAGCCAGGTTGTGGTTTTCACTTTTTATGAGGGAAATTTTCAGATGCACACAAACGTAGAGAATCCCTGTACCCAGATTTCATAACCTTCAGCTCTCTGTTCTTGCTTCATGTAACTCCCTACCCATCCACCCACTGCCCAGCCTGCAATTTTTTTTTCTGGAGTTTCTAATGGCAAATTCTGGACATTGTGCCATTTCTCCTATCAATATATCAGGATGGATCTCAACATATTTAAAAAGCATAACCACTACACCATTATCACACCCAACAAAATGAACAATTCCTTAGTATCACCTGATACCCAGTCTGTTCCATTTTGCTGGAGTGTTTTGGTTGAAGTTGCAGAGGCTGCTCTGGGAGGGGATTGCTGCCTGAGTGGGAGGGAGAGCTCCTGATCACACTGCCTTCATACGGTTAAGGCTCAGCCCACATGCCCTGGGAGCTCTGGTGCCCATCCGCAGGCTGGAGACTGAAGGAAACTAATTATACTCACACAGTAGGCAAGCTGAACCCTGTTTGAACCTGGAGATGGATCTCCTGGAAGGAATGAGCTTCTCCAGCTCTGGAAAGGCTGTTACTTCCCTCTGCTCTGGGAGAGGCAGGAGCTGGCTGGAAACGAGCCTCCTCTGCCCATCTCCCCAGGCCCAGACCCCGAACACCTCGTGCCCAGGGCTGATGTGCGTCTTCCAGGGCTACTTGTCCAAAGGCCTGGTACAACGTTCTCTCTTCAACTTGCAAATCTATGGGGTCCTGGGGCTCTTCTGGACCATCAACTGGGTATTGGCCTTCGGCCAGTGTGTCCTGGCTGGGGCCTTTGCCTCCTTCTACTGGGCCTTCCACAAGCCTCGGGACATCCCTACCTTTCCCCTGAGTGCTGCCTTCATCCGCACACTCCGGTAAGCCTGGGGCAGGGGCTGGCTATTGTGGCCCTGGGAGTCCCAGGGGTCCTGAGGCTGCCTCTAACTCCCTAAGTCCTGTGCAGTTACCACACCGGGTCACTAGCCTTCGGAGCCCTCATCCTGACCCTGGTGCAGATAGCCCGAGTCATCCTGGAGTACATTGACCACAAACTGAGAGGTGAGCTGAGACTGGGGGCTGGGCAGGGCTAAGCTAGGCAGCTGGATCCTTGGGGAGGGGCTGTCAGGGGCCAGTGACCAAACATGAGCCCTCCTTACCCCCAGGAGCCCAGAACCCCATGGCCCGCTGTATCTTGTGCTGCTTCAAGTGCTGCCTCTGGTGTTTGGAAAAGTTTATCAAGTTCCTGAACCGCAATGCATACATCATGGTGAGCCCCACTCCCTGAGCAACGCCTTGCTCTGGGGGTCCTTGACCCAGGCTTCCCACCCTGGCCCAGGTTAACTCACCACAGGTTAACTCTGAACTTCCCACCTCACCCAGATTGCCATCTATGGGAAGAATTTCTGTGTCTCAGCCAAAAACGCCTTCATGCTGCTCATGCGGAACATTATCAGGTCAGGCTATCACTGCCCACCCGCCACCACCACCTCCGTAATCTCCCACTCAAGGCCAGCTTCATGGGCATGCTATGCTCAGAAGGTGCATTGAGCTGGGTTTAATCTCTGCTGCCTTCATCTTGAAATGTGAACAATTTTCATTTTGCATCTGTCATGGCAACTTATATAGCCAGTTCTGTTCCCAGCCCTGCGAAGCCTCTCACCCCCAACCTCCCCAAACTCCTTGTACAGGGTGGTCGTCTTGGACAAAGTCACAGACCTGCTGCTGTTCTTTGGGAAGCTACTCGTGGTTGGAGGTGTAGGTAATGACCAGGGCAGGGAGTTACGCGGACAGAGGACAGGGATGCTGGGCAGCTTAACAGATGACCTCAGAGGAGTGACACTGACCTCTCTCCCACAGGGGTCCTGTCCTTCTTTTTTTTCACTGGTCGCATCCAGGGACTGGGTAAACACTTTGAGAATCCCCACCTCAACTATTACTGGCTGCCTATCATGGTGAGTGACACCCCTCAGCCACTCTGCCTCACCCTCCAACTCTCCAGAGGAACCCTAACCGGCTTTGTGTCTTCCAGACCTCCATCATGGGGGCCTATGTCATCGCCAGCGGCTTCTTCAGCGTTTTTGGCATGTGTGTGGATACTCTCTTCCTCTGTTTCTGTGAGTGATATCCCTCCTCCACCTCTCCCCAACTTAAAGGTACCAGATTGTTTAGGCTTTTTTTGGAGATTTGGTGCTTCTAGAAACAGCTACTTTGTGAGTTACAGGAGCCAGAGCCAGAGGGAGCCTCTTCTTACATCCTCAGGCCAGGTTTTTGGGAGGAAAGAAGGGAGGGAGCTCCCAGGCGCCTGGGTTCTCCCTAGAAGGAGCATTGCAGGGAAGAGGCCCCCCCACCCCGTATCTTCCCCTCCCCTTGAAAATCTAGGGAAGCCACAGGAGTCTTCCCAGCAGGTGGCTGTAGTGAGTGCGGATTTTCCTACCCTACTGTATGCATTCATTCAGGGTTTCGTATGTAGCACGCTCTGTGCTAAGCAATCGACATGTATTTTTACCATTAATCACTGTATGAAATATAGTACTATTGACCCCACATTTCAGATGAGGAAACTGATATTACATAACCCACCCAGTAGGTTACAAAAAATGCTAGAAAAAAACAGCCGGTGGTGGCACAGCCTGGAAACCATGCAGCTGTCTCTTAGTCCCTGATTTTCCCGGGGAGTGGGTTTGGCCCCCCAAATGTCCGCTCTAACGGGTCTATGTCACGGCTCAGTGGAAGACCTGGAGCGGAACGATGGCTCCATGGACCGCCCCTACTACATGTCCAAGAGCCTTCTGAAGATTCTGGGCAAGAAGAACGCGGCGCCCCAGGGAGACAAGAAGAGGAAGAAATGAAAGACGCAGCCTGATCCGGGACTGCACCCCGCCTATTCAGCTTCCCAGCCCCACCTCACCTTCCAGATCTCGATTATGTAGTAAAAAGATTTTATTAAAAGATTGATATTTTCCTTTCTCAAAAACTTTCTTTTATTTCCTCCAGGACTACATGCTGCCTTTTCCCCTACCCTGGCTCTTTAAAATAGGCCCCGCCCCTATGACGCGCCCCAGGTGTCGCAACCAATCAAAGGGCGCCTCTGGAGTCATGCCGCCCCCTTCACCCCAGCCAATAGGCTTCCCGTCTGGATCATGCGCTCTGGGGCTTCAAAGAGGGCCAATTGAAAGAGGTAGCGCTGAGGAGTTGAAGGTCACGTGGGGAGGACTGAGTGTGCCAATTAAAGACGCGGAAGCGCGGCTGGGCCGGGGGCAGGTTTGGGATGACATCTGAGCATTTAAAGGGCTGAAGTCAGTTGACCGACTCCAGCCCGCGTCTAGTCCTGGGGGCCAGGGTCGCGGCCGCAGCGGGGTGGAGATGACTGCGGGGCGACCCAGCGCAGTGCCCATGGGCAGACCCGGGACGCCGCGGATGCTGGGATTCTGGGGAGTCTGTAGGATTCAGTTATTTGCCTCTGTCTTTCTGTTGCTTTTGTCTCCGGCAGCATTCGGGGCTAGGACAAAGAACGACTTCAGTCTGGTAAGTCACCCTTTGCATAGCCCCATCCCCGACCTGCGTGGTTGTTTCCTCGGGACGCGGACTGCTGATCCCCCTCTTATCTGGGGGACTCTCCAACCCCTTCCCCTCCTTTCCCAGTCCCTCTTCCTCTCTGCGCTCTTGTCCTCCTTCTTTCTGAGTCTCCTCATTCGAGCTCCTTCCCCTTTTGAGAATTTGTCTCAAATGATTCCTTCTCCCCTCGTAGTCCCTCCCCCGCTGCTCCGAGCCTTTGGTTTCACTCCAAACTTTCCTCAGGGTTCCCCTTCCTTGTTCTGGGACCCCCTGCTCCCACTGCGGATCCCCATCACCCTGCCAATACCAGGGGAACCTGACTCCGAGCCGCTATTCATTCGCCCTAAAACCCCAAGTCACCTTTGTTCTGTTGACCCTTCCTCCTCCCTTCGTAGGTTCATCCGCTGGTGACCATGGAGCAGCTACTGTGGGTGAGCGGGAAGCAGATCGGCTCTGTGGACACCTTCCGCATCCCGCTCATCACCACCACTCCTCGGGGCACTCTTCTTGCTTTCGCTGAGGCCAGAAAAATGTCAGCCTCAGATAAAGGAGCCAAGTTCATTGCTCTGCGGAGGTCTATGGACCAGGGTATAAAGATGCCTGGGTTGCAAGAGGTTGGATGGGTTGGGAGCCTGATCTGCTTTAGGGCCCTGAAGCTGCTGGTTCCCTGAGGGGTAGATAGAACCTAAGAAGGGAAGGTGTCCAGGGCAGTTATCTGGCACTGTTCTAGGTTCTGTGAATACAGTTATGAACAAAATAGAGCAAAAGTCCTTGCCTTCACAGAGCTTATATTCTACTGGGGGGAAGATACAATAAGCATAATAAATAAGTAAATGTATTATGCTAGAAGGTGATAAGTGCAGTGGAGAAAAATAAAACACAGGGCAAGAGGTATGGAGAGAGCCAGAGTTTGACTGCAATTTTAAGTAGATGAAATTGGAGCAAAGACTCAAAGGAGGTCAGTGAGCCTAGAGAAAGAGTGCACCAGGCAGCACAAGCTTGGGCACAGGCCTCAAGGAAGGGAAGTATTTCAGGAATGGGAAGGATTTTGTGTGATTGGATGGAGTGAGCAAGGATAGAATAGATAAGATCAGAGAGGTAAGGAGGGGCAGGTCTTGTAGGCCTAGGGGCCATCAAAAGGCCTTGGTCCCTAGCAAGGGGTCAAAATTGCAGGGAGCAATGGAAAGGGCACCTCCAGAGCGCTCAGCCTGGGCTTCCTCCCTTTTTTCTTTAGGCAGCACATGGTCTCCAACAGCTTTCATTGTGGACGACGGGGTGACCCCAGATGGGCTAAACTTGGGGGCCGTGGTGAGCGACGCAACGACAGGAGTGGTCTTCCTTTTCTACTCCCTCTGTGCTCACAAGGCTGGCTGCCAGGTGGCCTCCACCATGTTGGTGTGGAGCAAGGATGACGGTGTTTCCTGGAGCTCACCCCGGAACCTCTCCTTGGATATAGGCACCGAGATGTTTGCCCCCGGCCCGGGGTCTGGCATTCAGGTCTCTGTCCTGAGATGGGTGGCTGGAGCTGTCTTGTAGAGAATCTGCCCCCAGGTGAACTCCTTCCCAGGGAGAAGACAGGTTTTCTGTCTTAGATGGGATTCCTTGGAAGAAAGGGACATCCAGTAAGCAACACCCTACCAAAGGAACGTGGGACTTTGCCATTGGCTTCCCTTTTTGGGGGCTGTCAACAGGGCTGCTTAAGCCATGTACAGATTAGAAAATAAATTAGAAAATCCCATGCAGATTAGAAAACCTTCCTTTGGGCAGACACAAGCCTGTGCCATGGTCCACAGCTTGGTCTGTGAGCACAGGTTGCGTTTAAGCTCCCATCTACTCTGTGGCTGGGCCCCTTGTCCTGTGAACAGCCTGTCCAAAGTACACCCTGGATGTCCTGAAGGAGCTTATTCTGCAAAAGAGCTTCTTAAATCAGACAGTGGCTGTTTGTGCGATACTTGTCAGCCAGCAGGGACAGAACAGATGAGGACCAGATGTGTGAGTCCTCACACTTGGGAGATGCTGGGTTCCCCTTCCCTGCCTCTGAGCCCCCTCAGTGTCTCCATCTGTGGCTTTTCCCACAGAAACAGCAGGAGCCACGAAAGGGCCGGCTCATCGTGTGTGGCCATGGGACGCTGGAGCGGGACGGGGTCTTCTGCCTCCTCAGTGATGACCATGGTGCTTCCTGGCACTATGGGAGCGGGATCAGCGGCATCCCCTACGGCCAGCCCAAGCGGGAAAACGATTTCAACCCCGACGAGTGCCAGGTCAGGAGTCCATGGGCGGTTCCCCATCCACTCAACCTGCTGTGTCCTTCAGAGCAGCGGTTCACTCGTGGACCCAGGGTCTGGCTTCCCAGCTCTGTGCCAACAGCCTCACTCCCTCCGGGACAGGGCCGTTTGCTGCCCCCTCCCTGGATCTTCCTGAAGCCCCATTCTGTCCCCTCAGCCCTATGAGCTCCCAGACGGCTCAGTTGTCATCAATGCCCGGAACCAGAACAACTACCACTGCCGCTGCCGCATCATCCTCCGCAGCTACGACGCCTGCGAGACGCTGAGGCCGCGGGATGTGACCTTTGACCCCGAGCTCGTGGACCCTGTAGTTGCTGCAGGAGCTGTAGCCACCAGCTCAGGCATTGTCTTCTTCTCCAACCCTGCCCATCCAGAGTTCCGTGAGTGCCGGCCGGGTGGGGTCAGCGGGGGAGCCCCTGTCATCTAGACTTTCCTTCCCCTGACTCTGCTGCTGTCCCCAGGGGTGAACCTGACCCTGCGCTGGAGCTTCAGTAACGGTACCTCTTGGCGGAAGGAGACGGTCCAGCTGTGGCCAGGGCCCAGTGGCTACTCCTCACTGGCAACCCTGGAGGGCAGCGTGGGTGGGGAGGAGCAGGCCCCTCAGCTTTATGTTCTGTATGAGAAAGGCCGGAACCAGTACACAGAGAGCATCTCCCTGGCCAAAGTCAGCATCTATGGGAGCCTGTGAGCTGCATACCTACCATGGGGGTAGGAGGCCCTGGACTGAGCCTCAGGACCATGGGTCTGTACAGGGTCTGCTGGACGACCCTAGAAGACCATTCCACCTTCCCTTAGATTCTAGTCTTTTGGGAAATCAGCTTCTCTTTGACAGGGAAATCTCTAGGACTAAAATCCTGGCTCCTCCCCACAGGAAGAGTGCCCACACCTGGGAGCACTTCCCTTCCACATTGCTGGGTCTGCCCCAGGCCCTCTCTGCCCTCCCAGGACAACAATTGGTCCTTTTCTTGGGCAGGGCTTGGTGGGCTTGTAGCATTAAATAACTGTCAACTCAGGGAATCTGGAAAGGCTTACCTCTTTGGGGTGAGATCTTCACTTTGAAGAGGGTTGGTGAAAGTCCCAGAAGGGCAGGAAGTTTGGTTGCAGGGTAAGGAATGAGGTGCACCACTCACTTTGACTATTTATGAATCAAACTGTTTATACTTAATGAATGTTTTAAATGAAGGAGAATGAATATTTACAGTCTCTGTGGTTCTGTCAATGCACGTCTTCACGTCTGTTTTCCTTGTGTACACGTGCAAGACTGGGAGTGAATTTGGGGAGGAAGCTGGTGTGCTTACTGCCTGTGAAAAATCTGACTTCGGCAAATCAAATCTTTTCCCTTTCACATTCTTTCATATCACAGAAAAATGGATTGCTCTTCAGAGGTGTAATGAGGAGTAGGAGGGGGAGCCCCATAAGGTATTTAAAAACTGGCTGTTTTGTATGTCTAAGGCAGGATGGGGTACTGTCCTCCATGAAGCAGGGAGCAGGTGTGTAAAGTGCAGATGGAAGCCTCTCCCAGGCTGGCCTGGCGGAGAAATAAGCACTGTGGCAATTATGGGAAAAAACAGCATCTTCATCCTAAACACAGATGCTGTGAAAAGAGCCTAGATGGCTTGCAGCTGAGTGGGAACCACAGCTTTCTTCCATACGGAAAGGAAATGCAGTGCCTGGACAAGATGGTAGGAATGGTCCAGACATTCTTTATGTCTTCATCATAAAGGGATAAAGGCCACATTCATTTGCAGAGATTTGTGTTACTTTCAACTGCTTCTCTAAGAAATGTTAGGATAATATCCTATCTGATGGAAGAGATGGAATAATCCCCTTGCCTGTGAAGACATGGTGTAATTTTGTTGTGTTCTATCCAGAATTTGTGGTCAACTGGGTAATACTGGAAATTTTTTCTTTTATAGACATTTTCAAAAACACAAAAGTAAAAAAAATAGCTTCATGAACCCCATGTACCACAGCATCCAGTTTCAGCAATTATCAAGATGTTACCACGTTGTGGGGAGGGTATAGCTCAGTGTTAGAGTGTGTGCTTAGCATGCGCAAGGTCCTAAATTCAATTCCCAGCACCTCCATTAAAAGTAAATTAATAAACCTAATTACCTCCCCCTTCAAAAAAAAAAAAAACTTAAAAAAAGTTACCATGTTGCTTCTTACCCTTTTTTCTGCTTCCTTTGCTGAAGTATTTTAAACCAAATCCCAGACCTCATGACATTCACCCCTACATTCTTAAGTATGCATCTCTTTCTTTAGAACGGAATATATTATTACATAATCATAATGCCATTGCACACCCGAAACATTAACAGTAACTGTGGTATAATCTAAAACCCAGTTGATGTTCAAATTTCATCAAATGTCTCAAATATGTCTTATTTACAGTTGATTTGTTCAAATCAGGATGCCAAGAAAATCAACACATTGCATCTTGATGTCTTTTTCTTCTTTAATATGGAGGTACTGGGGATTGAACCCAGGACCTCATGCATGCGCTCTACCATTGAGCTATATACCTCCCCTACCCCGATATCTCTTTAGTCTTTGTAATCTACAGTAGTTCCACCTCCTCTCTTTTCTTTCTCTCTCTTCTAATACCATCTACACAAAAATAATTCATTTGTCCTGTAGAATGTTCCTCCCCCTGGATTCGTGTTTCTTCCTCAGAGCCTCATTTAACTTCTTCCTCCATCCCTTGTATTTCCAGTTATCAAAAAAGATCTAATTAGGTTCAGAGTCCATCTGAGGGGGGACAAGATTCCTTTGCAGGGGCTTTGTGCTTCCTTTGGTGCCCCCTAAGGAAGCAAGCACTGTCTGCTTGCCCCTCTCAGAGTAAAGCTGAGATTGAGCCATGGGTTCATATGGCCATAGCCTGACTCACCCCCTCTGTAAGATTTCCCCATCAACCTTTCAACTGAAAGTTTCGTTGATGGATGAGTTTTGCTTGAATCAGTTATTTCATGAGGGGTTGGGAAATGCTGGTTTTTAAATTCTGTTATTTTGTCCTCATGTATTAGGTAGAATTCTCCAGATTGAAAAAAAAAAGCTGTCACTCATCCAGGCTGTCAGGTTACCATGAAGTGTGGTTTGCATGGGAAAGGCAGGATAAATGCTTAATTTCTCCCCTTTAATTGCCAGTTCGCAGAGTAAACTGATGGAATACTTTACCTTGGCCAGCAAACCACATTGTTACCACACAGGACACACATGCAGAGGCAGAATCTGTGGGCCTGCCGGAGGAAACAGGGACATCTGAGGGAGGAATAACGGAGAGAAACACAGGCAGCATGGTCATGGGGGTGGGGGGTCTGCCTCTCAAATACAATCGAGAAACAGATATGACCCAAGGAAGTATGGTGGGGGTGGCATATGCAGCAATTGGGATATCTGTTATTGACACTAAGAATTACACATCTGGTAAGTCCTTAAAATTTTATTTATCAGAAACATTGGAGGAAAGAGAGGAAATGATACCGTGAGTGTCCGACCCATGAGCTACTGCCTCGTGAAGTATATGTGACGGGGGGCTTATGAGGAAGTGACAGTGTTCCTTCTTCATAGCCAAGAACCCTCAGCTAAGAGAGAGGATCCTCAAGGAAGGATCTCCTCCTCAGAAGAGGGTGGGGAGGAGTCATTGGAAACCAGAGCCCTGGTCCCACCCCAGACCTGCCTGCAGGTTCAGTATCTCTGGAATCTGTCCAGGACCTTGTTTTTGGTTTTCGTTTGTTTTTTCTTTTTTTATAACAGATTTTTTTTTTAATGGTGGTGGTACTGGGGATAGAACCCAGGACCTCATACATGCTAAGCATGCCCTCTACCCCTGAGCTATTACCCACCCTGCAACCTTGCATTTTTAAAGGGAACTGCAGGAGAGTCTAACGCTGGGGTCTTTGGGCTGCACTTTGAGAAACTCAGACGTTTAGCCTAGACTTAGGAAGAATAGATTTCAAAACACTGAAGAAAAGATCTCAAAAGAGAAATTGTTACAACAGTAAGAGTTTGTGTCTAAAAAACAATAGCCATAATAGCTGGCAGGGACCAAACCTGCCTACTTACCCGGGCATCTTAAACCCCGCCATGATACCTGGCACATGGTGGATGCTTAATACGGGAGGAAAGACAAGCCCAGGAAGGGTAAGGAGCTGGGCCAGTGGTTTTCAAAGTGTGGTCCCAGGTGGGCGGCAGCAGCCCCTGGGAACAGGTTGCTTGACCTCCCCCATCCCGACACCACCCCCTTCCCCGCACCTGCAGTCAGAAGCTCTGGGGGTGGGACGCAGCACTCAGAGTGTTACCAGACCCTCCAGGGGATTCTAATGCATATTCAAGTTTGAAAACCAGATTTGAACACAAGTCAGGGGTACAGAAAGGGTTGAAGAACTGTTGATTGTTTGGTTGGCTTTTTTTCTTATAATATAAAGGGGGAATTGGAAGGAGTGACAGGAAACTGAAAGGGGAAGGCAGAGTGCTCATTTCTACGAATGGGACAAAGTGGACTTGGAAGACTACAGCATGGTGAGTGCCACCTGGGTCAGCAGCCAGATTCTAACCTGGAGCTCCCACCCCCCAGCACGGGCCCTCCTGCTGGGCACACACTCTCACCCCTCCCCCAGCCCCTTGGCTCAGGATTGGAGGGGCTCTGGGCTCTCCTGTTTACCAGGCTGCTCTGAAACAATGGAAAAAGAGCCCAACAAGTAATATTGAGCAGCAAACACCGGGGACCAGGCATCAGGTGCACTTTTTCACTAATTCAGTCCTGACAACCAGAAGTCATTATCGGGCAGAAGCAGGAGGTTGTCCATCATTTTTCCCGAAAGAGGATTAGGAAGGATTACCACAATGAAAGGGTAGGTCTTCCCTTTCCTAATGTTCTGGATAAAATATTTTTTAAAACACATTTTTAGCGTAAGGCTTAGCTGGTGAAAAGTAAGGAGAATCTTCAAAAACCATAAATAATAGGAAGAACCTAGAAAAATGAGCCCTGGAGCTGGCATTTGCCCTGGGGACATCAGTCAATGCTCAGAGCTCAAGTCAGGATTTCAGCAGATCACAGATTTGGAGTCAGGGTACAAAACCAAGGTGTTGAGAAGTTCTGTAAGTTGTGAGTGGATGTCAAAATGGAGTCAGTATTGCTAAGAGAGTGCTCCAGAATGGAGCTAGGAGGCCATTAAGGAAGCATGACTTAAGCGGCTCTCAGCCTGGATGGACTCTCACCTTTTGGTCTTATGAAGTCATCCAGAACACCTGCCAGAAATTCAAGATACTTGTAAAATAACTCATGACAGTCCACTTATCAGACCCCTGCCCTAAAACAACTTGTGATTCTCTGTGGACACATATTTTCGGACTTAGTCAATCACAATTCTCACCAGGCAACTTTTAACAACCTGTGGCTTTTTGTCTTTACGAGCCCCTGACTCTTTCACAGAACACTCTTTCAAGGTTACCCAAACCTGTGTCTCCCAAATTGTAATTTTTTTTTCATTTTGTGGGGAGGTAATTAGGTTTATTTTTTTTTAATGGAGGTACTGGGGATTGAACCTAAGACCTTATACATGCTAAGCACATGCTCTACCACTGAGCTATACCCTGTCCCGCAAATTGTAATTCTTTTCTATTTAAAAAAAATTTTTCCCTAGATAGTGAGGTTCATTTTTAACTTTGTCTTCCTTTTATCCAGGGGTGGGGGAAGGTAATTAGGTTTATTTCTTAATTTTTTTTTTAGTGGAGGTGCTGGGGATTGAACCCAGGACCTCCGGCATTCTAGGCATGAACTCTATCACTAAGCTATACCCTCCTCCCCCAAACTGTAATTCTTAAGACCCCAAATAAACCATTCTTATTTGCAGCCTCCTGCACTGTTTTTTTTTAGGTGACAAAATTAAATAAGAGCCTTTTTCCAACCTGCTCTGCTCACGACATAGCAGTACTGCCTAGGGTGCAAAATTTAAAAGAACACCAAAAAACTCAGGAATCCAGGTAAATCATATTTTAATGCAGTATATTTTTAAAATAACCTCGTGCATTCTAAGCATATAGTCTACCCCTGAGCTATACCTCCAGCCCACTAATGCAATATTTTTTTTTAAATCAAATTGGGAAACTACAGCTCACAGGCTGGCTACCTTTCTTTGTAAATAAAGTATCAAAAAGCCACATCTTCAGTGGGTGAACTGGCCTCCATCTTTGCTGTGAATAGAGAGAGGAAAAAACAGTGGGGGGTGGGGCAGAATAAATAACAGTGTCTCTGGAAAATTCCTAACAAAAGTTCACATTCCTGTGGGACTAATGCCAGAAATCACGTTTCCTGTGGCCCTCAAATCTGCAAGCCACGTATTTAGAAGTACTAGGTCTTAAGCTCAGTGGTGAGTATGTTGTTTTAGTCTCCTTTAAATTGTACAGAATTGTTATATACTCTTGTATATAATAATAGATAGAAAATAAAAAGTAAAATAAAATGAAATAGGGGGAGATAAACAAGTAAATAAACAGAAGGAAAAAGATAAATGGAGATCACTGGGTAACTTGGCAAAATACAGCCACAAAGGCGGTACCCATGTTACTGACCAGGGTTCTTGGCCTCCTTAATCAATAAAAATTGATAAGATGCCAGATGAGAAATTAAGGCAAGACTTTGCTGGGACTCCTGCTGCAGCACAAGGGAGCGAAAATAAGTAACAGTTTCCCTTGCTCACTCCCTGGTGAGCTGGTACCTTAAGAGGGGTGAGGGTAGGGGCAGATCCAGGGGTAGGGCCGGAGCGGTGGCTTAGGTGGTCTGCCCACCCCCTTGGTGGTGCTGTGTGCAAGGATCACACACCAGTACCCTGCCTCTGCTCCCAGCATCTCAAAGTGGCAGTTGGGTCTTGGGTCTTTTTGTATCTTGTTCATAACTTGCCCCAGCCAACTGCTCATGCACAGTTATTTTTAGTGCCTTAATAGTTTCTTTTCTATTGCTCTGTCCCAATGCAAGCATTGCAGCCCAGAGTCCCACATCGCAGCCTATGCAAGCACTGAGCAAAGGGCTCAGGCCCCATGTCCCAGCCTATCTCACCCAGAGTGAATGACCCAATGTGCATCAAGAGAGGGTGAGGATGAAAGGAAGAGTGAAGATGCAAAATCAACTTATTGTTTCGGTGTCTTCAGCCCAGCTAACTTTGCATTGTTGCTGTTACCCAGTTTAAGGGACGTGTGTTGTTTAACCTCCAGCAAGATTGGTAAGACATTAAGGTGCCCTTGCCATTGGAGGTGGGAGCCTGGTAGAGAGCAACTAACATGGGTTCCCTGGGATGTCCTGCCAGCCCCAGTGGCAGTTCTTTAGTCAAAGTTCTAAAAGGAGAGGTCAGAGGAAGGCCAGTGTCTCAGTATGTCTGAGTCTCAGTAAGGCACTTGATAAAGTCAAGGGGACCACAGGGAAATTTCCCACAAGGGGACCCATGTATACAAAAAAAAGGGAAATTCATTTGCCACCACTGAAGACACTTTTACACCAGCTCCTTACACTACTGTAAACACAGGAAAAGACTAAACCTTTCTCCTATCTTTGCAGTAGGAACAAGTAATTCAGGTTAGATAAAGTACTTAACCACTTAACCAAGCAGGACCCTATGGGGACTTCCCAAGACAGACCTCTCCCCTATATCCTCTGCAGTAGCTCCTCTCTGAAATACTCAATAATGGTGTCTCATACATATTTCCTGAGGTTTTTTTCAGATGCTAAAACCCACTACCAAATGGAAGAAATTAACTACTTGATGATTATTAGCAAAGAGCCCCCAGGCCTTCTGGCACCTAAGGATTGATTACCATCAACCAGAGAATTGTGCACAGCTGATTACATACCCTGGGACGCCCTCCACACCTCAGCTGGCCTTTAAAAATTCCCAGCTGAAACCTTCCAGGGTGCTCGGGTTTTGGGGGCATTAGCCACTCATTCTCCTTGCTTAGCCCAGCAATAAACTTTTCTGTGTTCTAGACTCCAACTTTTTAGTATCTTTTTGGCCTCACTGTGCATTGGGCACAAGAACTTGTGATCAATAAGAATTTTGGCAAGGCCAGCCTAGGAGTTTGTGCCAGTAACAGGTCCACCCTGGCCCAAAGCAGCCTCTATCCTGGGTCCCAGCAGCTGCTGGAGGCCTCTTTGCTTTAGGAACTGGGAGGGACTCTCCCTAACAGGCGCTAGCTGCCCCACAGCATGAGGCTGTTTGGAGCTGAAAAACATCCAGAGCTATGGTCCACATTCAGTGTCGCCTGGGGTGAGTCTGGGGTGAGTCGCTCCTGCTTGCACAGGCTGGGAACTCTCTGCACTCTATCTGGAGTCATTCCCTTGTGGGAAGGGAGCTGCTCTGGGCTCAGTACAAGACACCCTGGGTCCATTCTCTTTTAGGAGCCAGGCCACTCTGGAATCCTCCGTCTGGGAGTGGAAATGAATTTTGAGGCTACACTTCATCTGACCTTTTATTTGTGGGACCATATTTGTTATCTCTGTGTGTTTTAGTACTTGCATTGATCAGTTGAGACATCTTTGGCAAGTAAAAGGGCTCACGGGTGACGACATCCAGGTATCCTCTATTGCATTTGCTTCACCTGTAGCTCATCTTTGGTTGAGATTTTCCCTTTCTAGCCTTGGTCATTCATTCAGCTTCATCTCTGATGGGGCATTGGTTGGGAATCCCCCTTTTGGGGGCTAGGGAACTGTGACCGTGAGAGACCATTTTCTTGATATTTGATAACATCAGCTGTGAATAACGAAGTATGGATGATCGGAGCTCTGTTCCATCTTAACATCCCCCTAGGGTGTATTTTGCAAAACTGGGAGGCCTTCAGCTGTGCTCCTGAAAATGAAAGATCAATGAAATTTTTTATTGTAACACTGTTTGGGCTCAGTACTCCCTCAGATCAGAACAATGGCCCCTAATGGGTCTGCTATTATATCAAAATGGGCCTTTTGCAATTGCTTTGGCTTTTATCTTGGCGGGGGGTGGGGGTGGGTTGAGAGTCTCAGTGGTACCTGAGTCCAAATCCTGCTCTCTCCTGATTTTGCTAAAAGTGAGGCATGTGAGTATGAGCGAATGATACATATATTATTGTCTATTACTATTCTTTCTTTAAACTGAGGTGGCGATTTGGGAACTGGGGAAAAAAATCCCTGAAAATAGCCAAGATGGTTGGGTTTTATAAAAGCAGTTAGAAGAGGAATTTGTATTTCTCTTCCTGTGCCTTTGAGATGTGGATGATCTACCTGAGCTGTCGAGGGAAAAAAAGAGGTTTTTAAAAAGTCAGTCGATTTCATTCAAATCTCTATTCCTCTAGGAAGGATTAAAATAAAAAACTAAAAAAAAAAAAAAAAGTCAGTCAGAACAACTGAGGTCTCTGGTTCTGTCTTTACGTAAAAAATTAACTTATAAGTGAGTTCTACTTGATTGACTCGAAGGTCGGTGCTTGCAAATTAAATACTTCTAAGTACAAAATAAGCTAGATAGAACAAATTTCAGGTTCATGGGATCTAAGAAATATTCAATATTGAGTTGATCTGATATGAACGCTAGCTTGAGCTTGTTGGTATAATCAATACAGACATGTCTTACTGTACCTAGGTTTACTACAGGTCAGTAGGTTCATGTTTCTGTTGCAGAGTTTCTCAGCAGAAAGAAAAAATTAACTTGGTATGAAATTCTTATAAGTAAATGAGATGCATATGAGATAAGAGCCTTTGGGTGAACTCTTTGGAAATAATTAGTTTTAGGAATGTCTACTTAAAAATGATCTCTGCAGATATTTGGTAACTTAAAATTTTGGAGTTGTGCTAAATAAAGTTAAATGATGGAAATTTATTGAATAGTTGAACAGCAAGATCATTCCCAAACAAAATAAGATACTGAAACATTCACTGGAGTTTAAGATTTTTAAGAATTGAGGATTCTAATTTAAATATGTAAATGAAGCTACTGGAAGTAATGGGAGAGACATTTCAGTGTATAGCAGTGTTTTGAGTTAAAATTTTTAAAAAAGGTATGAGGAATGGAATTGCGTTTGTTGAGGGGAAAAAACTGATTTGTCCTAGAGCTGGGTGTTCTAGATGTGGACAAAAGGGGACACACTAATATGGATAGAGGAAGTTGAGGAAAGGTTGTTAAGAAAGGGCGCCCTGAAAAAGTTCTGTGCACGATCAGGCTGAGATTAGATTAAACTTAATTAGGTAAATGGATTTTGTTATTCAAAGTAGGCTGGTGCAGGACTGGATTTGGTCCCTCTGTGTTAAGAGAACAAGTTTACTTAGAATACTTCTGATAATAGATTGTGTGAAACTTACGTGATATTTTTGACAGGCTTTCTATCAAATTCTAATTAAAGTTCTTTTGACTTCAGCTGGCTTTGGGATGCTTCAGAGGGCCCCTGAGACATCTCAGAAAAAAATATTTAACTGGTATTGGTTGGTATGTTGCATTGCACAGGAAGTATTGTCAAATGACTGATGAACCTCCTTGGATTATACATCATACAGCTGTTAATATGGGTACTCTAGAAATTATACAAAGTTTCTGAAATTTAGATATGTGCTAGTATAATACTGTCAGGCATAATTCTGGTGGTTATCTTGGAATGTTGTATGTCACAGCAACCTGATTAAGCTTCTTTGTCAAAAACTTTGTGATCGGATCTCTTACCTTGTCTTTTTGGGTCTTCTGTCATTCATAGACAGTTAAGCTGATACTCTGCAGAACTACTTCATCTTCAAGAACATTCAAAAAACAATTTAAGGGGGAGAGTACAGCTCAGTGGTAGAGTGCGTGCTTAGCACGCACAAGGTCCTGGGTTCAATCCCCACTACCTCCACTAAAAAATAAAAGATTAATTTAAAAATACATAAAGAAACGTAATTACCCCCCCCCAAAAAAGAAGATTCATAAAAAGGACTTTTTGACAAGTACAGATTTCTTTTAAATCATACTACTGAGCTAGGTAAGATATTTAAGAAGTCTAAAGAAAACTGATTTCATGAAACTGTTGAAGGGATTGTTTGCATAGGATTGAGTGAACTGATGAATATGGTTATAATTTTTTGGTTGTCTGAAGTATTACTGGCTTTTAATCTATGTTTTATAATTGACCTGTTTATCAAATGTTTTTCTTCCTATCAATATTGCCCCCAGTGTTTAGGATATAAAGAATTCTCTGACGGAGTTGTCACAGAGTATAACTACTCATGATGTACAACAACGCTTGCTTTAAGTTTATTGCTAAAAGCACATGAATCATGCTTGTGTAACAATTGGATGAGTGATCAAATGTTTAGCCTGTAAGTGTTACCTGATGAACATACATGTGAGCCTGTTCACAATGTCTGATTCGTTTTCCCCAATGTGGTTAACGAGGCAAATATAAAGGAGGCCTAGCAGCAAGGCACATGATCTAAACCTGGGCAGGAGCTACCACCCCAGCATCGAGGGACAGGTATTCTCATCATCAGTGCTTTCTATTGAAAGATTTGTAATCAAAAGGGGAAATGATGGGGAAATCTGCACATATTGAGATATGGGGGAGTCATTCTGGCTTATGTGTGCCTTGGCTTAAACTTTACTGACCAAAGAGGCCTGCTTTATGGTCTTTTGGACATGCATTGTACATCTGCTTTGGGCACTGAGGAGGAGAATGCATTTGAAAGTGTAAATAGAGTAGCTGTGGTCCAAAGTAAAACTAGGTGGCCATTGTGGACGTGATTTCAGACACACTCCTGTGTTGTTAAGAACTCTAATTTTCTGAGCTGTGTCATACTCGGGACACCACCAGCCACTCTCAAAGCAGTGTCTGCTGGCTTATGGCAGCTGCAACCTCATGATCTCAAGGTCTCCTCTTGTAACTATTAAGTTTTTAGACAATAAAATTGCTTTAGATCAGATATTAGCAGAAAAAAGATGTGTAGTGACCAATAACTCTTGTTATATATAGGTTAATACCACCTGAAAAGTTAAAACCTACTCAGATAAAAGTAGACAACTGGCTACCTGGCTACAAGTCTCCCCCAAAGTGCCAGGTAAGACTGGTTTTCAGGCTTATTCTCCTGAATTCCTCAGGGAATGAGATCTTAATCTTAATCATACAAGACTCTGATCCAGGACTTGGAACTCAGAAATATTTCCAACTCAGTGTCCATTCCTCAAATCAAGGTAGGACTATGCCCCATTTAAGCAGGAAGCGGCCAGAGTGGCCATCACCCTACTCCCTGAAAGACTTGGGTTGGGATGAAACAGGATTGGAGAGTGAAACTGAGTTCCTCTGCTGAGTTTATGATTAACCTCTCTGTCCAAAATACTATTCCCCTTCTTGTCCAGCACCTGATCTCCTCAAGTAGAGAAGTATCAAAGAAAAGCAGGGAATTGTAACCAAGTAAGTCCCTATGGGGCCTTCATGGGACAGACCTCTCCCCCATATCCTCTGCTGCAGCTCCTCTCTGAAGTACCCAGGTAGTAGTATCTCATGTATATTTCCTGAGTTCTTCAGATGCTAGAAACCATGACCAAACAGAAGAAATTACTTGATCATGAGCATGTAGCCCCCAGACCTTCTGGGCCTAGGGATTGATCACCATCAACCAATCAGAGAATTGTGCACAGCTGATCACATACCCTGGGATGCGCCAGTCTCAGCTGGCCTTTAAAAATGCTTAGCTGAAAACTTCCAGGAAGTTCAGGGGTTTGAGGGGCTTGAGCCACCCATTCACTTACTTGGCCCAGTAATAAATCTTTCTCTGCTCCAAACTGTAACAGTTCAGTATCTTTTTGGCCTCACTGCGTGGGGCACAGGAACTTGCATTTGGTAGCAGTACCAGTAGATGAGATGACATTACTTACTTGACAGAGGAATGTAGAATGTCAGTGAATAAGTGTAGGAAGAATAATCAAATTAGAAAATAATCATTTTGCAAACTTAAATGAAAATTTCCATTCTAAATGTGCCCTCCCTGAACGAGGAGGACGAGAAGTTGAGATGGGGAGAATTCTATACAAACAGAACTTGCTGAAGTATTTCTTGGCGAGGGTATAGCTCAGTGGTAGAGCGCGTGCTTAGCATGCAGGAGGTCCTAGGTTCAATTCCCAGTACCTCCATTAAATAAACAAAGAAACAGACCTAGGCCCTGCCCCGCACACACACAAGAACTTGTTAAAATACTTCCTATCTTCCATTAGCCTCCCCCACATAGTTTAGACACTTATCCACAATTGCCTCTTTCATTCAACCTAACATAAAAACAAGTAGGTTTTGCCATGTCTTTGCATCTTTATTTCCCTACGACGTCTCCTGTGTAATGTAAAATTTACATTAAATAAGTGTGTGTGCTTTTCTCCTGTTAATCTATGTCAGGTTGAAAAGACCCAGCCAGGGACCCTAAGAGGGTCAGGGAAAACGTTTTCCACCCCTACACAGGCAACGATCATCAGTAGATGCTAAAATCATTAGATTAATGTTGATGGGGGCTGGATATTCTTTTTTTGTTGTTCAGTAAACATTTATTGTGCCCTGCTTTATGCCAGGCACTATTTTATGTGTTTGGACTATATCAGAATATAACAGGCAAAAAAACTTGCCCTTGTAGCATTTATATTTCAGAGATGCATACTAATAGGAAGTGATTTAAATTACTTTTTTAATTGAAGTATAGTTGATTTACAATGTTGATTACAATGTTGTGTTAGTTTTTGGTGTACAGCATAATGATTTGGTTATACATATATATATTCTTTTTCATATTCTTTATTTTAGGTTATTACAAGCTATTGAAAATAGTCCCGTTCTATACAGTAGACCCTTCTTGTTTATCTATTTCATATGTAGTAGTTTGTATCTGCTAATCCCAAACTCTCAATTTATCCCTCCCCCACTGGATTTCCCCTTTGGTAAGTATGTTTGTTTTCTATGTCTGTGAGTCTGTTTCTGTTTTGTAAATAAGTTCATTTGTGTCTTTTTTTTGGAGTCCATATATAAGTGATATCATGTATTTGTCTTTCTCTGACTTACTTCCCTTGGTATGATAATCTCTAGGTCCATCCATGTTGCTACAAATGGCATTATTTCATTCTTTTTTATGGATGAGTCAAGTAGCCCATGGTAGATATATGTCACAACTTCTTTTTTTTTTTTATCAGGACTTCTCTCTTTATTTTTTTTTATTTTTTATTGATTCATAATCCTTTTACAATGTTGTGTCAAATTCCAGTGTTCAGCACAATTTTTCAGTCATTCATGGACATATACACACTGTCACATTTTTTTCTCTGTGATTTATCATAACATTTTGTGTATATTTCCCTGTGCTATACAGTGTAATCTTGTTTATCTATTCTACAATTTTGAAATCCCAGTCTATCCCTTCCCACCCTCTACCCCCCACCCCCATATCACAACTTCTTTATCCAGTCATCTGTCGATGGACATTTAGGTTGCTTCCATGTCTTGGTTACTGTGAAGAGAACACAGCCACTTTTTGGACATAGAAAGCTACAGGCTTCTATAGCTACATGGAACACGAAGAAGCCTATACTTTAGTTGCACCCATACAAAATGACAATTACAGCACCTTTCTCTTGTCTCCAATTACCTTTCCCCATGCTCCCCACACCTCAGCTTTATCCCATGAATATCCCAAGGCCCCTTGCCTTTTAGGAGGTGAATTTGATACTTGTTTGCTCATCTCTGGGGTTGGCTGCCTTGTGAATAAACTCTTTGCTACAAACCTTGGCATCTTTGAGTTTGGCTTGCTGCCCACCCAGCAAACAAACCTTGTTCGGTAACAGCATCAAAGAATTAACACATCTTGCCACTCACAAAGGGAAAAAGTACCTCTACAGTGAAGAAATCCTGGGGATCACTACTTTAACTGGGTGACCAAATTGAGATCCAGAAAAATGGGACAGCTAAAGGTTATGATCCCCCTGACACAAGACCCTGTGAAGTACATAGCACATGGCAGACTGAAAAATGATCCCCTAAAAGATATCCACGCCCTAATCCCTGGAACCTGTGAAGGTTATCTTATACAAGGATAAAGAGGGTCTTTGCAGATGTGATTAAACCAAGGATCTTGAGATGGGGAGATTATCCTGGATTATCTGGATGGGCCCTAAATGCAATCACATATATCATTACAAGAGGGAGGCAGAGGAAGATTCAACACACAAGAGGAGGAGGTAGTATGACACAGAGGCAGAGATGTGAGTGATGTGGCCGCAAGTCAAGTTGTGCCAACAGCCACCAGAAGCTGGAAGAGAAAAGAAACAGATTCTCCCCTAGGGTCTCTTTAGGGGCAAAGGCCTGTGGACACCTTAATTTTTTGCCCAGTGAAACTGTCAAACTGCTGGCCCTCAGAAGTGTGAAGGAATAAATATCCATTGTTTTAAACCACCTAGTTTGTAGTAATTTGTTACAGCAGCTACAGGCAATGAATAGTTAGCAGCATTCAAGAAGTATTGTTGCCCAAACCAGGTAACCAGAATTTAACTAGGCCTTTAGGTATAACTTCCAGGTTAAAGAAAGTGCAGAAAGTTAAGGAACAAGTTAAAAAATACCAAGAGGGGACAGTTAGACAAAGCCAGTATGTGTGGAACATTCTACAAGACAACTGGCCCAGTCTCTTCAAAAGAGCATTGTCACAGAAAGAAGGGGATTGTTCTAGAATTGAAAGACTAACCAGCTATAACAGTAAAATAAAGTGCTTAATCCTTGATTAAATGGATACTGGCTCTTTAAAAGCAAGTACCATAAAAGACATTTTGGGAACAATTGAAAAAAATCTGAGTATCGATTAATATTAGAAATTGTTAATTTTCTTAGGTATGATAATAGTGTTGTGTATATGCAGACGAAAGTCCTTAGAGGGGATATGCATGCTGAAATATTTAAACATAAAATGTCATGATCTCTATAATTCACATTGAAATGATCCTGACATATATTTTTAATATTTATATGCATGTATATATAAATATATATACACATATATTTTTGCCATTTGCCATATTTTCAAATATGTTAAAATGACAATTGTTGGATGAGGTGGTGGGTATGTGGGTGTTTATACTATTTTTATTTTACAAGTCTCATGGGGGAGGGCATAGCTCAGTGGTAGAGCGCATGCCTAGCATGCACAAGGTCCTGAATTCAATCCCCAGTACCTCCATTAAAAAGTAAATAAAGATAAATAAGCCTAATTACCTCCCCCCTAAAAACAAAACCAAACAAAATAAAAAATATAAGTTTAAAAAGCAATATTTTATAATTTCTCAGCCTCCTTTGGAAGAAATCAACCCAGTGTGGAACGCAGCCTCTCCCTGTGTACTTCAGGGTGGTACCTGCCATTGTTGCAAAGCCCTTTATTTTTTTGTTTTTGTTTGGAAGGGATAGATAATTAGGTTTATTTATTAAATGTTGGTACTGGGGATTGAACCCAAGACCTCATTCTTGCTCAGCATGTGCTCTACCGCTGAACTATACCCTCCCCGCTGTAAGGCTCTTTAAAGACAGCTCCTGCTCCCAGTTTGGTACCTATCAGCACATAAAGGGGATGAATTATTGGCTGACACCTTTATCTGCACTATAGTGAGAATTTAATGCTTTAATGACAGTCTGAAATGTGGCCCATTTCCACCTGAGTTTCATCAGGGGGCAACAAAATTTAGTATTTTAAGAGTCAGCAGGTTCTTTAGCCCTTAGGATAATCTGTGTCCTTACTCTTTGGGAAATAACAAAATTGAAAAACAATCATGGGAGAGGGTGGGTACAGCTCAGTGGTGGAGGGCTTGCTTAGCATGCATGAAGTCCTGGGTTCAATCCCTGGTACCTCCATTAAAGAAAAAGACAATCATGGGAAAGGATGAGAACGCATGAGAAAGTACTACGATAAAGTAACAGATGGCCACAGATGCCACTGGGCAGAGCTAACGATGGGCCTGGGGCTGTTGTGGCTGCAGCATCAGAACCAACCAGCAAGGTGAGGGCAGCTCTAACGATGCCAAATGTTGGGGCATCTCATTCCATCCTTCACTTCAACTCCCTTTTCATATTATTCATCTGTTTTCTCTGCTCCACATCATGGATGATTTCTTCCAATTCACTAATTCTCTATCCAGTTGGTCTGTTATTTCACCTTTTTGTGTGTTTGTACTTCTTGTGTATTTGTTTAGCTCAATTCTAGAATTGCTGTTTCCCTTTCAAATCCATCTGCTCCATAATGCCCTGTTTACGTACAGTGGATTGCATTCTCTTTGTCTTTGAGTATCTTTCTTAGCTGTAAAGTCACCTGTGACTGTACCTGCTGATTTGTTCTCCTGGGGGTGGACGGTTTGTTTTTATTCTGGCTCATCTTGGAAACGGTTGTGCTCCATGTGTGAGCGCTGGAGTCTGGAGTCACTAGGGGTGACTTAGCTTTTGCCTGTCCTTTTGCTCAGCCTTTTGGGATTCACAGGTCTCAAACCTTGGTTGGTTTGTTTTGTTTAGGGTTTTTCTCCCCCACCCCCACCCCCGCAGGGAAGATGAGACTAATATGTTCTTCACTGCTTAAACCTTTTGCATGGGAAGGAAAAAACAACCACTGTAGACTAATTCTTTTAATGACAAATGTAAATTAAAATTTTTGCAACTCATATGAGAAAAAAAGTCTAAGGTTCCTAGTACAAAAAGAGCACCTAGTTGTGGGGACAGTATAGCTCAATTGGTAGAGCCCATGCCTAGCATGCACAAGGTCCTGGGTTCAATCCCCAGTACCTCCTCTAAAAAATAAATAAAACATAATTACCCCTGGCAAAAAAATAAATAAAAAGCACCTGGAAATAGGAAGAAAGAACCAAACAGAAAATATGTGAGAGACATTTACAGAAAGCATCTCTGAAATACTATTTCCACCCACTGAATTTGCAAAAATCCTAATGTTTTATACCACACCCGGTTGGCTAGTCTGTGGAGACACTGTGGAACATGGCTGGTGGGGATGTAAATTGGTATTTCCATTATTATGGAGGGGAATGCGGCCTATCTACGAAGAATTACAAATGCACAAGTCCACTGCTGAGAATGTCCACTATGGCTGCAGGCAAGCAAAAAGGACATACGTAGGAGATTACTCATTCCAACAGTTTCCAAACCTTGTTTTTTAACTTACTAAGAAATAATTCAGGAATACTAAAATATGAAGAATTATACAATGACCTCCCGTGGAGTCCTTGACTATATCGCTCTCCCTCCCAACCCCATCAGTTCTGGGTAACTACTATGTTGAATTTAGCATTTAGCAATCCTATGCACTTCTTTTTGCTGTTACTATTATGATACTGAATTCTAGGCAATACATTGTTTAGCTTGAAATGTTTTAAAACATTACTATTTTCCTGTGATTTGCCCTTTTTCTTCACATTGAGATTAATCCACGATAGTACATTAGCCATACCACTGCTGCATGTAACA